CATTTTATAAAAAACAGATCTTCCAGGCTACATGAATTTTTACTTTAAGATGTATAAACATCAATAAAAAGGTATAGAACCTCTTTAATTTTTATTAATATTGATAGATCATTATGAAGTCATTCTGCTCACTTAATGCACTCATGTGGAGAAGGCAAAATACTAACTAAATATAGCCCTCAAGCAATACAAATAAAGTATAATATTACTTGGTTGGTTGTTGAGAAATGCACATTAGACACATTAGTGCTGTTGTCTAAGACATATTTTAGAATTTAGATTTTTTAATGAAATATTTTAAATGTTCAAATCTTGTAGTTGAAATAGATCACAAAAGAGGGAAGAAGGGAGAAAGAAATGTTCTATAAGAGGTTAGTATTAATTTTACAAGAGAGCTGTAGAAAACACATGCATGTGCATCATACATTTATGATCAAAATGTTATTTTTAAGTTTTACTATAAAACCCTTCTGAGAATATGTTTATTATGGCCTCTTGTGCTGAAGGAAATTAACATTTTAGCTTATGCACTCTACTGAAATCTTTAAGACAAACACTCTTTATAACATTTTGGATTCAAATAATGTAATGATATAGTGAAAATAATCAGTGAAAATAATTTTAATTCTCTAAAATAATTAGTTAGCTTTTTTTTTATCCCCGTAGATTCTGGAAAATTAAAAATTGTAAAGGTGATCTATATTAAGAGCATTTTATTCAGAGATAAGGCTATCTCATCTCACAGTATGTTCCAGTAATTCTATATCACAGATTCCCACACAAGAAATCTCACAACAAACCATGATGACTGTGAAATTAATGGGGTTCAAGACTCTGCACACTATATATATATATATAATGCTTGCAACTGAAAAATGAGGTCTAAGTGTATGACAAATCCATATTCCTATTCCTACAGGAACCAGAACCAATAGCTAGATTTTTGTTTCCAAACCATTTGAAAATTGCTTAGGTCTAGATTCAAACTTAGATTTTTTTTAATGTTTTCTTGAATTATTCTCATAAAATATGAACTCACCAAAAAATTTTCTGACCAAAGAAAAGTATATTTTTTCAAACTTTATTTGGGCCCAGTTACTAAAATAAAGACACTGTGGTAAGTAAAGTAATTTTGTTTGAGCAGTTATGATTCACCCCATTATGCAGTGCTATTGAAGCCATTTGAAAACACCAGGGTTTGTCTTGCTACATCAAGAGTACTTCTTTGTAGCAGTTTATTTTTGCATGTGTCAAAAAAAGCCCCAATTCCTAATTGCAGAGGAAACTTTACTATATGGTTCATAAATCTCACATAAAAGATTTTCAACCAGAATTCAAATAGATAGACAAGTAGTTAGCTTCTCAAAGTAAGAGTAGATTCCTTTTGTAATTGATATATCTGTCCAAAACAAATTTGAAACATCTTATTAGATAAAAATTCTATTTGTGTCTCTTTATCTGAAGCTAAGAGAAGATCTCATTAGAAAGAATGTGGGAGAAGTTGACATTAAAACAAAAGGGGGAAAATGATACCATTTATGTTTTCACAACATGGGCAATATTTTTTTCATAAGGAATATTATTCACAATAAAAGGTAACAATAGAATCAATCCAAATTCCCACCAACTGGTGAAAGATTAAACAAAAAACAATATATCCATGCAATGGAATACTTTTTCAGCAGTAAAGGAGAAACTACTGATGCATTGTACATGGATGAACCTCAAAAACTTTATGCTAAGAGTAAGAAGCCATTCACAAAAGACCATATAGTACATGGTTATATTTATGTAAAATATCGAGAAAAGACAATTTAGTAGAGACAGAAAATAGATTAGTGGTTGCTAGGTTTGGGGGATAGTAAAGAAGATTAACTGTAAATGATCATGAGGAGTATATTAGGGGTGATTTGAGGTGTTCCTAAATGGATTTGTGGTGATGTTTGTACAATTCCATGAAATTACTAAAAATCACTGAAACATACATTTAAAGTAGGTGAATTTTATTGTATTTAAATTACAGCTCAATAAAATTGTTAAAAAGAATAAAGATAAGTTAGAGAGACAGAAAGAGATTGAGAGAGAGAGAGAGAGAGAGAGGGGAAAGATTCGAAGAGGAAAAAATAAAAAGCAGTTTATGCTCTATCAAGAAGTTATCTGATTATTTAATTTATAGGTATTCATAATATATATTAATTTTTCCCCAAATTTCATACCTCTTTAGCAGTAAATGTTGCTTTATTTTTGCTGATTCTTTTTTTAAATTAAATTTATTGGGGTGACATTGGTTAATAAGATCATATAAGTTTCAAGCGTACAGTTCTATAATACATCATAAATATATTGAATTGTGTGCTCACCATCCAAAATTTAGTCTCTTTCCATCACTGATTTTTTTTTTTAGGTGAAGCAACCCTTGGTTGATCTCACAGATTGCAAGGACCTTGTCAGTTTATAATCTCTTATTTTTATTTATTTATTTTGTTTATGCCTACAGCACCTGGTCTTCCTATGTGGTCTCCCATCTAACTACTAACCAGGCTCGACCCTGCTTAGCTTCCAAGATCAGATGGGATCCAGCCTGTTCAGGGCAGCATGGCCCTAGATCCATCACTGAATTTTTACTGAATGTTTACTTTGAGAAATTAGCTGGAGAATAGATATGACTTACAATTAAGAGTTTTCATCATTTAGTATAGAAACAAATCTCTATAGATGTTATTAGCAGTGAAAGAAACATAGTGAACATTTTGAACTGTTAATATGTGAACCTTCTGATGTTAATTTTGTTTTTTGCAGAAGAGGTACCAGTTCAAATACCAATGATGAAGTCACCATTGGACAAGATCCAACTGACTCCTGGGCAGACATTGCCTCCTGGATTCCCTGGACCATTCATTTTTGCTGATAGTCTGTCCTCTGTGGAAACTCTGTTGACCAACATTCAGGTCAACAATATTTCTATAAACAAAATAAATGTAATACAAGACATTAGCCCCTACATAAATTATGTTGTATTTGAGAACTAAAACAGATAAGATGAACTGCATGTCATTTGCTGTACTTTGACAGGGTTTACTGAAAGTGGCTTTGGATAATGCTCGCATCCAGGAGAAGCAGATTCAACAAGAAAAAAAGGAACTGCGAATGGAGCTCTATAGAGAGAGAGAAATTAGAGAAAACCTTGAAAGACAACTCGCAGTTGAGCTTCAAAGCAGAAGTAAGTTTAACAATTTCAATTATGGAGTGAATACTGTAATGATGATATTTTCAACAATAATAGAAATATTCTCATGGATAGCTTGGAAATGCTGAAAACAAATGACAAGCTCAGAATCAAATACTGTGTGTAATCCACAGGTAAGATATTTATACTAGTTCTCCTTGTAATAAAAACTAATGAACCAGATCTGCACTTCAGTTCAGTTTCAGATTTGGAAATATGAATTGTCTTAGTATTCTCACAATTTCACAAAGTACATCTGGATATAGATAATCTAACAAAGCCTTATAAATGAAATACTTTTTGCCAAGAACAGTGCTAGATTCTGGGGTTATAAAATAAATAAAACTCAATCCCTGCCCTTGAGAGATTTACATTTTAGAAGTCTAGCACAACCAACCAGTTAATTTCAAGATAAAGTGGCAACAGCAATGACGCACAATATAAATGATTATATAGAGAGTGGGGCAGGTAGTTCATCTTGGGGGTGAGTGCATGGATGGTTAAGGATAGCTTCCCGATGCTGGCACCTGATCCTGAATCTTGAAGAATCAGTAGAATAAGAAAGGTTAAGAGACTATCTGAGTTATGTGAACATTCTTGACAGAGGTATCAGAGAGCATAAGCATAGAGGCTAAAAACCTTATACATGGGCAACTATATATAGTTTGTTATTACAGTGGATTTGAGTTTTATGAAGTGACTGGTGGGAGATGATACAGAAAGTTGGGGGTAGAAGCTAAATTATGGATATTTTTAGCCATGTAAAAGTATTACAAAATAAGTATTGGGGGTGATCTTTTAAATAGAGCACTCCAGTTAAATAGAGCACTCCAATGTTGGGAATAGGTTAGAGGGGGCTTAGAATAAGACTAGAAATGAGGAAACTGTAGAAGGAGATTGCTCTCATCCAGGCAATGGTGATGAGGACTGAATTAGGGTGGTATAAGTAGGGATGGAGACGAAAGGGAAAGAATAAAGAAATATTAATCACGAATATAATTAACTTTCCAACCATGGGTGGATATTTGATTATTTACAGATATAGATAATGAGACTGATACATATCAAAATAGAAGAAAATTAAAAACTTCACTTTAGTCAATAATTTCCACCTTTTTATTATATTTACCATAAAACACTAAGCAGAAGCAAAAGTGACTTGTGAATTTCAGCTCCTTTTCCCTTCTATGCTTACTGTTTTATGGATAGATCACAAAACAAAAATTAATTAAAAGAGTTAGAGTGGGAAGGAGAGACAAAGTCAGGGAGAGAAAATCTACAACCTAGATAATGCCTCCCTAAACAAGGAAGAATGACTGTAGTTGAGTTAAATCCACTAACTTTTCACTATTCTAAAGTGGCATCTTACATTCTGAAATTTATGTCAAGTAAATGAAAACTTATTGTATATTTTCCTTAGGGACTAAGAATCTTTGATCCAGTTCAAAATGGAAAAACAGTCATTGCATTTAAAAGGAATTAAACCTCTTGATCTTATCTTGCCAACGCAATAAATACTACTAAGCAAAGGCTAAATTGTCTTTTGAAAGTTTGAAGAAATTGGCTTGTTTCTGGTATTTAGTATTCAAAATAGATTATTATGACTAACATCATAAAAAAAACATTTGTTTAGTAAGGAAACATTTTATGCTAAATAACCAACTAGTCATATGTTAAATATAACATTCTCAAACTGATTTGTGAAAATCTGCATATAGTAAAATTGGCTTATTACTTTTAGAGATCTACTCACATTGATTTTTGTTTCCTAACTTCTCATAGAATCTCCAGGTCTATCTTTATAATTGCTACCACATCTACTGTCTTTTTAAAAAGTCCTAGACATGGTAGATGTAATGTTGTATCTGTTATCAAATTTACTGTAGCGTATTTGTATTTAATAAATTTAGCTTTTATTAAGATATACTAATACCACTACTACTACTATCATTATTACTACTACTGCTACCCCAACTACTTCTACTCCTACTCCTCTTACTCCTACTACTACTAGCTAATGCTTATCAACTGTCTATGTGCTATGCAGTTTTTAATGTTTTATATCTAATGGCTAATATGATTTAGAGAAACTACTTCATCTCTATGAATCTCAGTATTGTCATCAATTACAATAGTTGAACTAGATGATCACTTAAATTCCTTTGTAGTTTCCTAAATACCTCATACATAGTACACCCGACATTTTATGACAAAGGGTGAACACTTTACATGAAGTCATATGCTTGAAAAGAAAAAAGGGGAAACATTGATACTATTGTTATAAAATGACATCCTCCCAAGTGTCTAGAAGCAATAGTAATAATAAATATATATATATAAAGAACATGTATAAAACTGTAAAAAATATATTAAGAATCCCTATGTCTTATCTTTTTCTCCAATTAAAGGAAGCAATGTTTCACACTCAAAGTAAATATTCCATTGAACTGCCTTTTCATTGTTAACCAAAATGTGTCACTTGAATTAAACACAAATACACATACAGAATAACATTCTTTGCAGATTAAATACTTAGAATCATAGAATGATAGAGCTACGAGAGAACTTAGAAGTCACTTGTCTTGGTTCTTGACCAACTATATGGTCCTCAGGCTTTGAAACAATTACATTTAAATGTGATCTTTGGCCCTCGGGCTATGAAAATTACTAACTGTGTAATCTTGAGTAAATTAATTGACCTCTCAAGAACTCAGTTTTCTCATCTATAAAATGGAAATAATAGTATTTTCTTTGCTGATTTGTTGTAAGACTTAAATGAGCTATACCCTCCAAAAATGTTCAGTTCATAGCAGGTCTTCAATAAATGATACTTATTATTTATTTATATAATTTAAATGTGATATACTGTGAAATTATTTACACTATATAGAATCATACATTTCAAGGGAATCAACAAATAAGCAATAGAATATTTTTGAACCAATAATTTTACTGTAAGCAAAATTTTGTCTTACAAGGACATTACATTACACATTAATTTGAATAAATTTAAATTTTTGATCTAAATAATGTGTTAAATGTTTTATCTGAATGGTGATACTTAAGTATAATTACAATAGTAAATTATTTTTATTTTCAACCTTACTTACAGCCTTTCATCAGAAATAACAGAAATCATACATTCTCAATGTTTTTGTTCTAAGATTTCCATTTTGTTGTTACCTTAGACCTCTGAATTTTGTGTCAAGTGAACATAAATTTACCTGGATAACCGACTCTCTTCAAGTTGCTAAAGGTCATTTATATGAAAAGACATTGAACTGTGAGATAAATACAACTGAAACTCAAATTAGCATCATATTCAGTTCAATCAAAATATATTAATTTATATGAATAATTTTAACATTTAAAATGTCACATAATTTACAAGTTTGCTTAATGTTCCTTGAAAGTTCTATTGCCATAATGTCAATATCTTAATTTTTTAAAAAACTGATTTAGGGAGAATGTGAAGTTCGATCTTTTTAAAATCTTGCTATGAACTATGATCCAGTATATTGCTGGAGCCCAATAATTCTATTTGAGAAATTATCACAGATTTCAGGGTTTCGGAGTTTAGAAACAATCATACATTAAGGCAGCTGAAGTTTCTAATTAAGATATTGTTAACCAATAGTAATTTTTTACTGTATTTGAGCAAAAAGAGATGCAGCCCGGGAGATTCAGGAAGAATCTTAAGTTGTGTTTCTCCTTGACAAAGGGGAGGCCACAATTTATAGTGAATGTTCCTGCACAGGTTCTCAATTTGATTCATTTTATGTAAACATGTTATCCAAATTGGACGGAGCAGGTCTCAGTCAATTGGTTGAAAGAGGAAACCAGGGTTTCTCTGTAGTGGTTGACCAGACTCAGACAGTGTAAACAAGCAGGGCTTTTGTGGGAAGCAGAGAGTTCAGTCTGAAGTTCTTCCGTGAGGAGCCCCTATCAGTGAATGGCTGCTAGGCTCTTATTATCCATAAAATGTAGGCCGTTGGTTGACTATGTGGAGTCCATCTCAGCAGATAAATTCCTTTTGGGGGTTCATATTAAATGATGTTTTCTTCTCGATTTCTACAACGTAAAGCCTTAAGAGTTGAGGTATAGTTGTTCTCTAGCTCTTACTGTCTTTTTTACTTACAAAAAAAATGCTGTTGTGCTTTTACAGGTTGCTTAATATAATCATTGTTGAAAGTTATTCTCTTTAAAATGGATGGATGGATGGATGGATAGATAGACAGATGCCCTTATAATTGGTAACATGTCAGAGAAATAGACAATTGAAACTGTAACTTTAAAAGTTATACCATGTTTTACAACCCAATAGTTTATTTATTTTTTTTTACTTTTTGAAATGTGAATAGCAATTTCCTGAGGAATAATAAGAATATCTTTCTTAAGAGATTTATAAAATATTTAATGCTATTATTAAATGCATGTTTTAAATCAAAATAGAAAACAATTTCCCACTATAACTACCACCACCATATAAATTATGTATTATAGAGCAGCGGTCCCCAACTTTTTTGTCACCAGGGACCAGTGCTCTTATGAGAATCTAATGTTTGATGATCTGAGGTAGAGCTGAGATGGGGAGCGGCTTCAAATACAGATGAAGCTTTGCTCAGTCACCCACCACTCACCTCCTGCTGTTCAGCCTGGTTCCTAACAGGCCACAGATGGGTACTGGTCCACAGCCTGGGGGTTGGGGACCCCTGTTATAGAGCATACACACTGGAAAGGTGAAAGCAAAAAGAAGTCAGTTATATGACTGAACACTTTTGGTTGAGCTAATGAGATTGGAACCAAAAGAAGCTAATCACATGTCAATTGATACATTTATCTCTCTCTTTCTCTCTCTTTATTAATATCTATGGTTTAAAATCCATCAAAATTGGCAATGCTCTTTCATTGAACAAGCCTTTGCAAACTATTTATCTTTTCACATTTTAGCTACCATGCAAAAACGCTTGAAGAAGGAGAAAAAAGCCAAGAGAAAACTGCAGGAAGCCTTCGAATTTGAGTCAAAGCGCAGGGAGCAAGTGGAGCAAGCACTTAAGCAAGCCACTACTAATGACAGTGGCCTGAGGATGTTAAAAGGTAATGGCTGCTTTGGACTTTCACACTAAAGGTACATAAAGCAAAACCCAATTTATAAAAGAGGGAAGGAAGAAAAGAAGGAAGGAAGGAAGGAAGGAAGGAAGGAAGGAAGGAAGGAAGGAAGGAAGGAAAAATCTTTGTCCAAGAATATAATTAAAAATCAATTTGAGGCCAAGTGATTTAGGTCATTAATTAAATCTGTCAAAATCAAAATAATCCTTACTGTGGAAGATACAAATAGTTTAAGAATAACAGGAAATCCTGCTTACTTTTTCAGTAGAAAAAGTAATACTGATAACCTCCCTGCACCTAAAATGTAAGTGTTATAGTCCCATTCATATTAAAATGCACTGATGTTTGGCATACTCTATTATAATGAGCAATATGATGCTGGTTCCTTTAATGCAGATTGTGCCAGTGTTGAAGATATGAGGAGCATCTAGTTTAAAAAGAATGTTCTAAGGTAAATCCCTGGAGATCCTTTAAGAAGAGGTGCTTTTGTCATGAAATCTCTTAATTCCAAACTTTTCTGATTCAATTTCTAATTATGAATCTCTACAACATTGACTTATCTCATAGAATATTCAGATTCTTCTTTCTTGTTACACTGATAGCTCATATATTTAACTGATATATGCGTATAACAAGGCTGAGCCTAAGAATTTTATGCACATATGTAAACATGCCCCATACACACATATTACATGCACATGAACTAAAAAGGGATTGCTTCAGTGTCCTATACTATGAATTAATAAATAATTTTGTACAAATGTTCAATCATATTATTTCCTTTCCAAAAGTTTAATTCCTTTTTTACTGTGACTATCTTGGATTATTGTGCTCACAATCAATAGATATGCAATGCTAGATTATTAGCTCATGACAACCATGCCTTATTGAGACAAAGAAAAGAAAGGGTAAATAATAATACATTAATATTTCATACAGTGGGACATTTTAGACAGTGGGGGCCAGCATCTTTGCTTATTCAAGGTTTTAAAAATAACATTTCTGACCAGCAACGAGACAAATGTTCTGTGAAGTATTATTATTTGAGGCCCTTAACTTATAATTCTGAGACAATTTGACTTTTTTTGCATATTTGAAATCCACATATAATTGATCCCCACTCTAACTCCAATGTTCTCTAGTATAAAGGAAAAAGAGCTGTTTCTACAGCATGATGAATATCTTGTATTCAAATCGTTTCCTTCTCATATTAATCCTTGATAGCATTGGGTGATATATTAACATCTGTTATCACATTACCTAAGGGTGTCTGAGCAAATGTGTATACACAGAAATTCCCATGTTAAGCTGTGCTTCATGTATATGTATAACTTTTAGATAATCACATTTCATATTTATAATTGAAAATAAAAATCTCATTCCTTGTTTCTTTTTCTCAAGTTTGTCTTTTTTCCCCCAAATAATTTATGTATTATTTTGCCCTTAGAGCCCATACTACATAAAGACCACAAGCCGTATCCTGCGCTTTGGTGTTCACATGTGCTTAGCATAATCTCATCATCTATCACATCTTACAAATGGAAAAAATACCATAAGGATGGGGTATTTACATTTCTGCAATCGCATCCGCCTTTTTCTTATTCCACAGTTAAGTCATGTTACCTGATAGGCTGAGGGGATTTTTATGGACAGATATTTTCCCTAAGTTTTATCTCTAGAAAATGAAATGAATAAAGTATTTACCATATAGTTGGAAATATATGTCCAATTGTAGAATTCAGATACAGTTTATAACCCTCCTTCCTAATATAAAAACAAATAGACATAAAATAAAATCCACTCAAGGATTTATGTTATCTACAGGACCAAAGAACTGGCTCACTGATAGTTTTCACTTTAAATGGAATCATAAAAAAATGGAATTGTACTTTAATATTGAATATCACTTTTTTTTCAGATACTGGGATTCCAGATATTGAAATAGAAAACAATGGGACTCCTCATGATAGTACTGCTATGCAAGGTACAGTAAACTGCATACTTCTCTCTATAACTGCTTAATATGTGATCTCTGGAGGTGGGATAGGGATGATCTCATATGTTTATAATATTCATATAAGTAAAGTAAATAAGTTTAACTCTTCTTACTTTATGACAGAGGAAGAAGTCTGAACTATTTTTTAAGATTATACATATATAGGGATTAATAATTTTATCTCTACAACGTGAGCAAATTTCATGTATGTTTAACTGTTAAAAGGATGTACGTATATATGTTAGACATATTCAAAAAATGCAAAAATATAAATATAATTTATGTTTTAGAAGTGTACAATAATATGCTTTTTTAAATCTCATTACCGCTTGTAAAAGCCACAGGTAAAATAATCATAACCTGTTGATATTTTAAAAATGTTCTAGACAACATTTTTTATTAAACTCTAATTCCAATGCTAAATTTAGATAATTTTAAAAACCACTTAAATATGGAAAAAAAGAGCATGTCTAGTTATTCATGATTTGCAAGATTCTCATAAATGCTTAGATCTCTTAAAATATTTAGTTATAAGAAAATAGATAAGATAAATCAAGATAGAGTCTCACTGGAGTGCAAAAACACCAAAAAAAATGTTTACCACTGGATTTTTTTCAGTGTGATTCTAATGCAGTTTTCTAGCCCTTTGCTTGCAGCTTATATTTATTTTCACATTTATTGTGAAAAAAATGTCTCACTCTAACAAAAAAGGCATCTCCATGAGCAAACAATTTTCTAATTTTCAAAAAAGAAGACAACCATGGATATATTGCTTGCTGGAGGTTTAATAATCAGTGCTTTTCCACTGTGTAATGAAGGAAACGGAACTGGATGTGACAGAAAGATCCACTTGGGGTCATCTGAGAGTCACCATGTGGCAGTTTCACAAAATTTAGAAACACTTATTCACGTAGTTTTGCATGTTATCTGTACAAACCCAGGAGTGTCAGAGCTCATGGATCTTCTGGTAATGCCTGATTCTGCTGTAGCTTGCTAGACATAACTAATGCGTTAACTAGGTACATTCTTAGGTCTGAAATCATACGTGTTCAGCTCATTCAATAAAACTTTTGTTGTCTCTTATCCTACTTTTGCTTGCCTGCTTTCATTCCTCAATTTAAAGGCTATGTCTATATGAGCAAAGCCAATTTGAATGGGACTGGAAGTTTGTCCAATCAATTCGCCATAGCGTAATTTATGAGGAAAACCCCACTAGTTGTAGGCTATGATCAGTTGAGGTTGACACCACATATCAGGGCCAAGTCAGGGTTAAATAAGCTTGAAGCACCTGATCCTTTCTGAATCCGTGACACACAGCTGTAGACCTGGTCTTTAGGGAGCATTTAGCTTGATTGTGTCCCTCCTTTGAGTGGAATGTAAGGCCAACTTTGTAACTGAAAGGGTTAAACCAAACATACCGTCAGTGGGTTGTATCTTTATTATGCTTTAACCCTGTTCTCCCAGTCTTCACTGTGTGTTTAATTTACATGATGCCTTTAATTCACAGTAGTAATGTCTTTCCCAACTCTGAGAAAAATATAAGCTTTTGAACTGTCCTAACGTTACTTCATGTCCATGCAACAAACAACAGATATCTTATTCATGGGAGGTCAATTAGGTGATATAAGCAAAAGGTAGATATACTTTCCATTTGGCACAATTTTCTTATATTTTAATGTCACCTGCAATAAATGTTTTTTGCATATTAACTTGTGATTAAGGGAGGATACATTTAATATTTGTTTTCACTGAGAATAAGTTTTACTAGTTTTTGCTGGCTAAGTATGAGATAATTAGATATACTTTTAAAATAATTGAGATAGAACTTACTTTAAATCTAGGGAATTAACTTATTTTTATTTCAAATTACAAATTAAATTGTCAACTATTGTGATTAATATTATCAATAAATGGTAAAATATGGTGAGTCAAAAATTCCTTCTTGAACATATGCCTTTTAAGTTATATTAAATAATATTCTTGATTCTTGATAAATGTAATGAAAATGAAAAAGTATACATTTTCACCTCACAAGCACTATAAATGATAAAGTTCCCATCATCAATTTATGGAAAACTAGAGTGAATGCCTTGTTTTAATATGATAGCAGAATCACAATTTAATATCTAAAATAATTTTTTGAGCAAAAGATGATTTATTCTATTAGCCAGGGGAATTGGTGCCTGAAAATAGTAGCAGAACTCATCTTAGATACAGCTCACCAAATCAATCAATCAAATAAGTACCTTAAAAATCCCAATAATATTACTTATTATTTAAGGTGTTCAGAATTGAAAGATTGTGTTTATATGTAACTGTGAACTTCAGAAAATGTACAATGCTTGAAAAACATAAAATGCAAGCTTAACCATCATTTTTCCATTCTTCCTAATATTTTTGCTCTTGTGTATTATTATTCTTTTCTTTTGTAACTTATTTTAATGTTGTTTTCATGTTTTCCACTTCACTCAATTACCCATTTTTTAAATTGTTAGATTATTTTCTGACATTGTTTATAGAGATCAATTCATGTATACCAAACCAGTGCCACTTCCAAAACTCATCTCTATCACAGCAAACAATCCCAGCATCAAGGAAGTATTTTCTCTTCCTATTGTTGATAGCTCTGCTGAATAGAAATCTTATTTATCTAGTGCTCTCCTTTAGAAATTCAATCAGTTCTGCTGTGACATCTCCTAAGGAGAGTTTAAAGAGGATTTAGAAGAATGTTGCTTGGCTATTCTGAGAAGGAATGAAGTCATATACAGTTTTATGGTAATGTCCACATGGATTTAAGTACAGAGAAACTGCCCATATAATAAGATTCTTGCATGTATCAAAATCTATTTAGTTTAGTTATTTCTTGTCTTTTATGCTTTGAGAGTTGTTTGACAGACAAGATATCATGCATAGACCTTCCGATAAAAGATTTATATATCTCTTATATTTTAGCAGTCTATGATAGCAACTCTTCCTGAATATTATAAGGTATTCCAATAATGGCTACATACTCTGATGGCTGTGTCCACTATTGCTTGAGGTAAAGGATTCAGTGGAGCATATACATTAATATCCTCTCTACCCAGATCCTTATAACTCAGATGGGATCCTGCAAGACAACACATCAACCATCTTATCAACCAATCTTTGTTTCACATAAAATAAACATACTGGGTGTTATTAAGTGCACCTTCAGATCAATGGTTTTTGCAAATGACATTCAAGTACCATTTGCGTAGTGAATTTTTTGCTGATAAAAGCAAATTAAATTAGCACAACTACAAGTGCACTAATAAAAACTCAAACCGAACAGCAGTACCATTAGCTAACAAAGTAATATTTTCTCTTTACTGCATTCTGCCATTTAGTTATTATCCTATTGGAAATATAATTATAATCCTTTTACTCCCAAGTCAAACTTCACAGTTTTTGCAAGCTTAGCACTGACAAGTGATTTCATTACATTTGATTGCCCGCACCCAGATTGACTTAACTTCACTTGGAGACCTAGAAGCCCTCTCAGTTTCTCAGATTCCCTGTTTGCATATTACAGCAACAGCTCTTTTAATTAATTAGCATGAACAGCAGTAACATGATCTGCTGAACAGAAAATAACATCATTTTATGATCACAGGGAGACTTCTCCTTTTGCATGTTTATACCTTAGTTAACTTTTGTATGACTGTATTTTATTGTTAAGAGCTGCTGGTACAGTTGACAGAGCATGTTTCTTAAATTTTTGAAAATTTACATCATCATCTTAATAATAACAAATAAAACAAACCTAGAATATGAAGCTTGTAAATTTTAGAAAAGAGACAATAGCCTTCATAAACTGATTTTCTAGTAAGGAAGTAAAATAAAAAAAAAAAATCAAGGGAGACAACATCATAAAGTACAAGGGCACAGTGACACATTGCTCCTGTTTCTGGCACTGCATTTGATTAGAGAAAACAAAACAAAACAAAAAAATCTAGGAACTGCTTTTGCAAGAGGAATGTCAGTATCTGTGAATAATGTTTTACCTTTGCTACGCATTTGACAATGACATAAAATGATTTAACACTGGAATATATTTTTCCTCTGATATTTTCCATAAATATGGTGGAATTTTAAGTAATTTTTCCTTTTTTTTTGCTACTAACATACCAGAAGTAGATATTAAATACAATCTACATGTCCAAAGTAAACCTAAATTTGCTGTAAGAGATAAACCTACTTAACCAATTTTTTCCCATCTGAACAATTTTTATTTAGAAAAAATATGGGAGTTTGGTATAGACTGAGCATTCTAAAATATAAAATTTATGATCTTATCTATACAGCACTTGGTTAAGATGCCACTAAAGAATTATTTCATTCTAAAAGCAACAGATACAATTTTAACATTACTATGCTAAAAATACACATATTTTAGTGTAATTTAATATAAATATGTTTATAACACAGAACTTTTAATATATATTTATACTATGAAATATATATGAATATTTATATTATTACCCATTATCTCAAAATCAATCTGAATTGTGTCTAGCCTTCCTTGTTTTTAAACATTTTTATTATCTTCTCTCTTTGCTGCTTGCTTGGTATGCTAGAACAACATTCCTCCAAAGAGACTAAGATGCCATGCCAAAACTTATTGCAAAAAATTACCGTTTAGCCAAGATTGTCATTGCAGAATTTAACAGAAGTGAAAGTGATGGTAGGAGCAAGTAAAGGAACTCGAAATGATAAATTACATATGGTTCCCTGCCATGTATGAGATACGACAAAAAATAAATAAATAAAAGGAAAGCAGGTAGAATTTCTCTATAGGTGTTTCTACTAACTCCCACCACAGCGTGCTCTACCTCTTTCTCTAGGCATTCCAAGACTACTTCCTGTCCTATCCTCATCATTCATTAATTTTCCTTCCCTCTGGTGTCTTGTACTGTTTTGGAAAATATATATAGGTACTCTGATATTCCCATTGTAAAGGGGAAATG